AGTAGCTGGGACTACAGGTGTGCCACCATGTTCAGCTAATTTTTTTCATTTTTTGTAGAAACAGAGTCTTGCTATGTTTTCCAGGCTGGTCTCAAACTCCTGGCCTCAAGCGATCCTCCTGGCTCGGCCTCTCAAGTAGATGGAATTACGGGCTCTCACCACCATGCCCACCTCTGACAACATCTTGACTGAAACCCCTTGAGAGATCCTGAGCCAGAACCACCCAGCTAAGTCACTCCTGAACTCCTCATCCACCAAAACTGTGAGATAATAAATATTTGTCGTTTTAAACCACTAAGTTCTGAAGTGATCTATTATATAGTGATAGATAATACACCTTGTTTAAACAGAAAAGTGGAAAAACAAGATGAGTAGATTATTTAACTTGTTAACATATATTGTGCAGCATAAGCACCCAGGATGTACTGCTAACATGTCTACGTCTATAACAATAAAAGCTTGTGTTAGACACAGAAAAAAATCCCTCTAGCTTCAGCAGAGCGGGTAAGCATGCCCTCAAAATACTGGTTTTAGAGAATCAGTGTAAAAAATATAACTGCTTGGCCTATATCTGTGTCAATAACAGAAGAGAACAGAGAACTAACCTTTTGCAAGTGGAGCAATGGTAATCTCACTATCTGCCAGATTCACAAACACATCATAGAGGTCTGGTCTATTGCTCACCTCCAGGTCTACAAACCCAGCAACGTAACCTGCATTACAAAGATGAACATCATTACTGGAGTAGGAAGAAATACTGTGAACATATCAAAAGAGAACTGAGTCTAAAAGCTCATCAGCTGCTTTTCTTCACTGCTTTATTTATTTGGAACATCAGCTATACCCTGTGGCATTTATTAAGACTACCTTATTGTCAGCTGCTTGAAGAAATGCACACAACCCAGACCCACTCATGTATGAGAAAATGTGACATGACAGAATGATATTCCTGATTACCGAAGAGAGGAAGAGACTCTTCAATAAGTAGACCCAGGAATAGCCATTTTTCTCCAT